AGGCGAGGCGCGGGTAGGGTGTGGGGGGGGTTGTCGCTGGTGGGAAGGGAACAGAGGCAACACACCTGCTGCTTTTTCTAACTTACTGAGGGCGCGGCGTTTATGTCAGTTTGTGTTTTTCCAGTCTGTATTTTGCCTCTTGTCCGTCACGGACGCTGGTGGGGAGATGGTGGTGGAGAAAGCGGGCCCAAGCCCCTCAAAGCCTGTAGGTGATAGGTGCCCCCAGCAGCAGGAGCCACTGGGGCACGCGAAGAAAAGCAAGCAGCAGGTCTCCGATGGATTCACTGTTAAAGCCATGATGAAAAACACTGTGGTATGTTTGCTGCTAGTATAGAAATGATGTTAATTAATTTATTCTTGCGTGTCCAGGCAATATAGCAAGTTAGAGCTGAGGGTAAAGCATATCAGGAAAGCGTGTGAGTTGCTAAAACTTTATCTGGAGTTTGCTGGTTGCTGAAGTTACCTTCAGGCTTTATAGAAGGTATTATCATAAGGTAACTGTCTGTGCCTGTGGAAATTGTGATGCTTCGCCTCCAAGCGTATTGCTTTGCTGCCACAATTTTGCTGTATCTTTTTGTGTTGGCAGTGCACGTTCTATTAAACTGTCAGGCTATAAAATTGTGTGCAAGGCTTACTACCTCACATTTAGCAAAATGCTGTCAAATGATACTGTGGTACTATTTGCAAGTTTTTTCATATACGGGCACAGTGTGATATAAATTCAATGTGAATGTCACATAGGATGGCAAAGATCTGAAAAATACATTCATTTTTAAAATAAGCTTGAATAATAATAAAAAGCTTCCACACAGTGTAGGAGAATACTAAACTGGAAACAAACATTAGTTCTCCAATTCATAGTTCAAAGACTAAGAGGGGTTGACCCAGCAAGCATCACTTTCAGTAACAGTTCCAATTTCTAGGGAATTTAGAAGTATGTAAGTGAAAATACTAGGATAAAGGCCTTTCAAATTGCTTTATATTGTTTTATTTGTCTACTTTTATCAGATTTTAGGAGTAAAAAAAGCTTCAGCTACTACAGAATGCAAATGTTCAACGTGTAAGTGGATGAGCTAATATGAGCACCATCTGTGCTTAAACTCCTGAACTGTATTTTTCTTTATTTGGACACAGTGCAAGGTGATAGCAAAGTCTGGTGTTCTCAAGGCTTTTTAGATTCTATGTAGTCTTCTGACAACAGTTATGAAGTATGTTATTTCACTTGTTTTGCTGAAATAGTCTTCCTGGAGCAGCCTCTCTGGACTTGTTACCTGTAAGAACATCCTCCTAAAAACCCAAACAAATCCACCTTTAAACAAATTTTAAATGGAGTAGAAATTGTGAACATTAAAAACTTTCTCCTTATTAGTAAAACTAAAACATGTTTCATCTTAGTGTGAAAAATACAAGACTAAAACAACAAAAAAAACCCTTTGTTTTAAAGATTGTTTGGTTTGTTTGTTTTTAATTCTAGAGATATGTGGAATAGACTATAACACTTCAGTGAGTTTAAGGATTAATTTTTAAAAGATGTTTCCTCTTCTTTGGACAAAATTCACATCATGGATATTTGCACATATTTGTTTACACCTTGATATGTAAAAGACGCTTGATTTTGTGTAGAAGAATCAGCAGTGTCAGTGGAGTTTGAGAAATACATATTTAATTTTTAAAAAGGAGCTTTGACTTGTGAACATAACTAGCTATGAGTTTAATCATTAAGTTTTCTTTTAAATATTTGTAGAGTTTTAACTTCTATGGCTGCAATTCTAACTTCCTAAACAGTAACAGAATGTTAAGTCATGTGGTACGGTCATTAAGCAACAGCAAACAGGTAAATCTACTGCTTTTGGAACTACTCATTGAATCATAGAAATGGTGTTTTTTTGGCATGGACTTCTGGAGATCATCTAGCCCAACTTCCCATTTTAAGTGGGCCCATCACTAGCACTAGATCAGGTCAATCATGAGTTTCCCTAGCTAAGCTGTGAAACTCTCAAACATCAGAGATTCCCTGACCTCTCTGGGCAACTTGTTTTGTTGTTGCCCTGCCTGTGCCCTGGACACCCTGTCAGAGGTAGCATTAACAGTGTTCTGACGCACTCCACAGGTTCTGCTCATAACTGGGTAGGAAGCAGTAAAACTGTTAGACGTCCTGGGAGATTCATAGTGCCAGGCCTGTATTTTGTAAAAGCTCTGAGTCAGGACAGGCAGCCACTGGAATCCTTTCCTGGGGGTCAGTGTGCAAAAAATCGGGACAGAGTAAGGAATATCTCATGCCACTCTGTGCAGAAGTGGGTGTCCCTTTTCTCTTTTCCAGCTGGTTAAATGGAGCTTCAGATTTATCACTGATGAAGTTCTCATGGAAGCCTTAGGAGTTGACTGGAGGGTTGAAAGCACAGCAGGCAAATATAGTTAAGACATGGTAATTCTTTTTGTTAACAGCATGACAAAGCACAGGGCTGTCAGCATCATGTTCAGTACCTCCAGGTCAAACAACTATGTACAGATTAATAGCCTTTGGTGCAAACATGCAGTGAGTCTTAAACTCTTAACATGGAGTCTAACAGATTGCCGTTATGCATATGTAGCTGTAAATATTGGAGTAAAGGTTCCAGATTTCTTTGATGTTGCTTGTGCAAAGAGAATTTTGCTAAGCTATTTTTCATGAAAGTTGCTGGGTAAAGTTTTCTTCCCAAGTCTGCTTTCATAGCCAGCAGTAACTACAGAAATTAAGTACATACAATATTCAAGACTTTTCTCAGCTCTGGCTAAATCTAAAATTTACTTCTTGAAATATATTACTTAATAAATATTCACCAAAAAAAATGAACTGAAGAAACTGTGTTTTCTTTTATGTTATTCCAAAACTGTTAATTTATATAGCAGTTTAGATTAAGAGCAAGACCCAGTAAAGGTCTTCTACACTAAAAAGCTAGATACTGTGACATTAATATTTTCATTGTTTTGTCCTCCAAGTGGAATCAAGAAATCCAGGTTATGTGCTCATACTTTACATGTACTGCAAAGCTAGAACTACGAATATAACTAAAAATTAATATACAGACTACCAAGTAGAAAAGTGGCTGTACATGAATGTAGACAGCAGGAGGATACCTCTCTTCGCTTCTGATCCTCTCCAAATGGTTATTTTTCCTATTTTGTGCAACTGTACATGAGATAATAAAGTGTTAATGCCCCTCTTTTCTGTAATAAACTAGTGGGTAAAAGCACTGTTTCAAGGAGAGGATTCATTTTATTCCTTAAAGGGAACTGTAAAAAGGGTATTCCAATCTACCTCCCAACTTTTAAAAGATTCTTAACCAACAAGTTACAAGATCACTGAGGTGAAAAATATTGCAGAGGAAAAAGTCTCCACATGTCCTTTCAAAGTGCTGTTACTGTGCTGCAAAGAGTTAGGATTTATAGGGCTAGAAAGCGTCAAGGTAGGAAACTCACTAGACAATGTATTTTAGTGCATATATCATTGATGCAGGAGTTTTTGGAAGCTTTGGTTTTGGGGATTTTATGTCCATCACTGCTTGCTAGAATGGTTCCAATGATTTTGGGGTAGAATTGGAACTTAAGACATCCCCTCCGGAGTGCTGAGCCAATAAAGCTATGAAAGGGTGGTGGGTTTTTTTTCTGTTTTTCCTGAATGTTGAATTGCTTACTACAAAACTGCAGAGCTTCAGCAGGTTCTTCTACAGGACCTCCTTCAGTAACAAGTATTGCCAGGTAAATTGAAATACTCTTCTTGCAGCCTGTGAATTTGAACTCCTCTGGCCAGGGTACTGAATTCGGATTTTCTTCCTGGCTTAGCATGTAAGCTAGTAGGTCTTATGTAGGAAATACCACTATTATATCCATCTGTGTTCCATGAAATCAGTCAAAAGCTGCTGCTACTAATGGGCCACATCCAGCCTGTGCATAAGGGATAAAAAGAGAATGTCTACTAGATGACCTTAGAAGGGGAGTGATGCTAAGAATTGTTTTGTTCTTGGATTTCAAAAACCAAAGCAGAGCTATTCAATCTGGGAGAGTCTTAGCTATGTGCAGAAGCACAGCTCCCATCTCTTACAAGAAGTGTAATTGCTTATAAGCAGAAAAAAAGGTTATGTGGATTGCAGTTCTGGATTTTCATTCCTGTCTTCCTCATTTAGGAGTCTACAGTCTGTATGTATTGGAATGAGTTCTCAATCTTTGTTGTTTAAACTCCTCTTTCAAGCCATTATCAGTAATGTGTGTTGTGAAGGACTTTCTTACCCTTTACCCTTTGATAATAACTCATTGCAAGGGTTTCATTTTAACCATCAAAATAATGTGATTTGCTTACATTTTGAAACTTGTGATTTGATATTCTGTTTATATTCATCCACACTGTGTAACTAAAACTACTTTTGTTATTTACCTTGTAGCCATAACACTTTCTGATCTGATTTTAAGGCTATAGGAAAGCATTTTTTCACAAGAAAAAATATTTACTTTTCTATTATAAAAGCAAATTTATTGGAAAAGGCGGTATGTTTTGGGGCAAATAGATGTCAAGTTAAAGGAATGTTTTGATAAATGTTTATTGGGCAGTAGTACGTCCAACTTGGAGGAACTGCTCCAGTTTAACAATAGCGATTTTGTACAATCTACGAGTATACTTTAGTGAACTTGAGTCAATTGACTGTGACTCAAGTGACTGTGAGTCAATTTAAACTGTCAGTGCTCTGGAAGGCAGTACTATCTTCTTCCTGTTTCAGGCTGTTTATTACTGCTGCCCCGTATTGTGCCTGCATTTGTACAATGTTGGCTCATCAGGGAACTGATCCTGCTGAAAAATACTCCAGCCTGTTAAAGCTGACAGTGTCAAACTGCAGTCTTTGGGACTGAGGCAAGCAAAGCTCCTGCTGCCAACAAGGTTCGTCTGTCCTGCCCTCCTCCCTGTCCTGACTGCATGCTTCCATTTCCCCTTTTGCATTTACATTGGTGTTTCTTGCAACTACAGAGCAGGTTGGATCAGCTCTAACAGCTGTTATATGCAAGGAGGAGGGGAAACAGGAATATGTTGTCAGCACAAGCTGGGTGGGTGGGAGTGTCCGTCTTGGCAACATCGTGGTCTTAATTCATTTAAAACCGGGTATGAAACTTGAGTTCTAGCAGAGTAATTCCACAAGCACTTAAAGCAGCACAAACTTGCACCACAGTTGAAACGTGTGGTTTTCATCCCTGGATGTGTATTCTTTGTGCAGTGTAAACTTTTGAATGGCTGTGCAGCTCAGCGTTTTTTTTCCCAGCAGTGCAGACGTGACAGTTCTGTAATAG